TAGCCAATTTATTTGTGCATATGCAGATCTCTGGTGGGCTTTGTACTGGGAGAAGTACCACCAGGCCCACTATAGAGAGAAGATAGACAAAGGAGAGAGTCCCAATCACAATACCCCAGCCACTACAGCCGGTTCCACCAGCTTGCGCCACATGCGAACGCCACCACCCAGGGCGTTACAATAGTACAAGAATACACCAACGATAGACCGTAGCAGTTGCCAGAAGGTCCGATAAGAGCCAAAAGCAGAAGAAGAACCAACCCTCGAGCGTACGAGAGTTGTAAATGTGCATAACACCTGAGAGCATGTGTTTTGGATGACGATTGCGTTATGGAGAACGATTCGTTACCGAAATAGTTAACAAATGACTTTTGGCGTAGACACCGTACGATCTTGTACGAACACAAGTGCAATTCGCCAATATACTGAGATAGTATTTAAGAGAGAAGATTTCTGAGATACCCAAGTATTCTAGCTAAGGATTGAACTTAAGTTTCAAGTTCTAATTTCAGTTGCGTCTATGTAGTACAGGGTTCCAGTGTATAATAGTCACTATTCCGGGTGACCATGGCGGCTTGAAATAAGAGTCACTAAGTCGGGTATACCATGGAGGCTTGAAACTGGACCGGGACAAACATAGTTCTCAATACGAGATAACTTATACTTGCCAGAGGGAATCGGCTCTGAATCGCGGGTACACCGCACGCCGGTGCTGCATGTTCGTATGCCACGCCCGAGGGCCCCGGGATGTTGGTGTGCCGCATTGCGACGTGTCGCGTGCAAAGTATCGCGTAGTCATGTGCTGAAAGGTACGATATAGAATCGGGTAAAGGCCAAGTGTCCTTATACCCCCAGGTTCTGATGGAGTCCCAATGTATTCCATCAGAGTATACATCTGATTTATTAGTCAAGTGTCTATAAATCCCAAATTCTGATGGAGTCACAGTGAATTCCATCTGAATGTGCACACCCGGCCAAGTGTTCGGGAGTGAGCAATAGAATCCCAGTGAATTCCATCTGAATGTGCACACAATACCCGGCCAAGTGTTCGGGAGTGAGCAATAGAATCCCAGTGAATTCTATCTGAATGTGCACACGATACCCGGCCAAGTGTTCGGGAGTGAGCAATTGAATCCCAGTGAATTCTATCTGAATGTGCGCACGATACCTGGCCAAGTGTTCGGGAGTGAGCAATGGAATCCCAGTGAATTCCATCTGAATGTGCGCATGATACCTGGCCAACTGTTCGGGAGTGAGCAATGGAATCCCAGTGAATTCCATCTGAATGTGCACACGATACCCGACCAAGTGTTCGGGAGTGAGATACCGAGCCATCCTCACCCGGGCAAGTGTTCGGGAGTGAACCCCAGTGAGTTACCCTCGTCATTCTTCTTGCTGGTATATCGGAGGTTTTCCTGGTTGCCTTCTCGTTCTCGGCGGAGCCTCCGGTGGTTCTGGGCTTTGGCCGATGGCGGTTTGCAGTGGATTTGGGAGGCGCGGGCCGGGGGTCGGGGCGGGACTCCGAAGGATGTGGCGGCCGGGGTTGAGGTACCGAGCCATCCTCACCCTCCCTTTCCGTCTAGTGGTGTTAGGCGGCGGGGGTCCTAGTTCACTCGAGCTTGTCTAATGGTGTTAGACGGGTTTGGACCGGGGTTGGTGTGAGGGTGGGTTGTCTTCCTCTCGGTTGGTGATGGGTCGATTCGGGGATTGGTTCGGGGCTTGGTGTGTATAGGCTTTAGGCAGTTTCGATAGTAATACTTCGGGTCTGAAATCTTTCTTGTGTCGATTGTTCCCTGCAGGCTGGGGCTGTTCGATTGCCGGGGAAGGGCTTTTTGTGTTTGATTAGGTTTAGTTGTTATTGTGTCTGTCTTGTTTGGTGTCTGTTTTTGTGTTTTAGGTCTGGGCCGTTGGCCTCAGTTCACCCGAGTGTAATTGATTTTTCTGTTGGGATTGCACACTCGGGCATTACCCAGTGGGGGTCGTTTTTAGTGTGTTTGTGTTTTTCTATGTTTCTAGTATATTGCTCTTTAGGGGTCGTTTCTAGGCGGTCTTTTGACCTGTCCTCACAGTTTTTCAGTTGTTGGCTGCTTGTATTCAGCCGTTGGTTGTCTGTATTCGGCTTGTAGTTGTACTTCTGCACGTTTTGTGCGCATTTATATACTACCTCTATCGTTTCCAAAAAAAAAAAAGTTTGTAACTGAATATTCATTTTTTTTACATGGTGCAAATATCTATGTTTGTACTACTCAAAATAAAAATAGAAACAAGGTCCTAATAAGAAAACATCATATAGGACTTTGCTTTCGAAAAAACAGAGTACAAAACACACACATGAAAAAAAAAAAAAAAAGAGAATTACATAAATTTTTTCATATATACATGAACGCATATTGCAGTCTGGTTTTTTGGTAGTTTTCATTACATGGGAGGGCATCATCGTCACAAAAACAAAATATGGGGGTAATTGTTGTCTTTTAATCAGTTAGTTCCTGTACTGATTTTTTAAAGGAAAAAGCTACTTGTACAACTTTTTTGTACAACATTCAATGACAACATGATGTGGCACAATGTAGATGGTTGAAAAGCAAATAAATGTATGGTTAAGATTTAAGTTAATGGTACTTTTAACCATGTTGTCAACTAATGTTGTAAACTACAATTGTACATGTAGCATTGCCCTTTTTTAAATCACGCCTACCTTCTTGAGATCAATTAATCGCCGCAACACGAGATTATTGGAGATTCAGTTGCGGGCCATGTGTAATCTAGCGGGCTGGAATCTTGGGAAGCAAACACAGGTTTTTGGCACAAGAGCACCTACAATGCATCGGGTCTCTTAATAAAATATCCTATGCCACATAGGAAATAGACTTAGTTTATTAAAAAATATCGTCCAATGCAATTAAAGTTGGACATGGTCTAGCTTATGTGGCAATAAAAAAAAAGACCAAGTCCACACTTGGGTCTATTTTTGACCCAAGTACAAACCCAAGTACTCATCATTTATTCCTCATTTAAATTTTCTTTTAATAAATAAAACATATTGGAGCATTTTTATTGGTTGGCATGTATGCTAGACCTAGTATTTTTTATTTTTGCATTGAATAGCTTTTGAGTTTTTTTACTTGGGTATGTTCATGTCATTTAGGACTTAAGTCTATTTATATACCACATATGTAAAATTAGACCCAATGCATTGTAGGTGCTAAGGAGCCTAAACTATTGAGATAATTATGCCTCACACGATCAATATGACATTTATTTGTAATTTTACGAGTCAATTAAAAATATTAACAAATGTGCCAAATCTTGTATTTTTAATTGTAACATATTTTCCGTTTTATTTTCTTTTTCTTTTTTTTTTTCTTTTCTTTCCTTTTTTTCTTTTCCTTCTATCCTCTTACTATCCGTCATTTTTTTCTTCTTTATCGGTCCCCAATTTTCTCACAACTTGTCTTCTTTCTGAGTTTTCAACCCTCCAGACCCATGATTTGCGGCGGTTGGAGAGGGCTGACAGACGTCCAATTGAGGGTGTTCCCGTTGGCTCTAGTAGCTTCGGTCCGAGCTTTGCGGTGGCAATCGAGCGACACAGTCTCGGGTTGATGCTGCTGCGTGTAGTGGATTTGGTTTCTCGCGCGATCGGTGGCTAAGATGTGCGTAAAGGTTGGAATGGACGACGCAGAAAATTGGAGTTATATGTTTGTTATACATATGTTATGTATATGTTGGGTATATGTTCGATATACATATATAAACTCAGAAAGTTGGAGTTATTTTCAGTATATGTTCTGTATATGTTCGGTATATGTTCGAATACATATATAAACTCAGAAAGTTGGAGTTATTTTCAATATATGTTCTGTATATGTTCGGTATATGTTCGATATACATACATAAACCCAAAAAATAGTATATGTCCGGGATACATATGTTCGGCTGAATCTGGTGTTATTTTTCAGTATATGTTTTGTATACGTTTGGATATATTCGACATACATATATAAACCCCAAAAATATAAATGTATATATAAACATCAAATAGTAAAAAACCCCAAAAATATACTACATATATGATATATACATAAATTAGTTTCAAAACGAAGATGATACCTGATTTTTTTCGAATATATTACGGGATAAAATCAGCAAGATCAATTTATTAGGATATATACACTTACCATTTAAAGTTACAAATTTCTGTACGTGCAAAAATAACGACCGACTAACAATTGCGATATTTAAGGACAATGATATCTCAATTAATTTCCATTTGATATGAACATATTCCTATTTAGTAGGATATTTAACAATTGCGTAACTGATATTATTTCTTCATATAAATAAATGCATTATAGATGGCACACGTGCAAATAAAATCAACACATTCGTAGTAATGCAATAACTTTAAAATCGTGTGGTAATCATATAAAATGGCCTAAACTATTCTTGTCTACCCTAACAAAAATGTTAAGTTCTCAAAGTAAATTACCAAACTGAAATTGCTCATTTTACCGAATACATTTTATTATTTAGTTATTTAATTATCTCAGACTCAGTTCTCTTATTTAGTTAATCTCATTGTTACAATCCATATAGCTATATCATTTAGTAGTTATAATAATCAAGAATAAATTTACAGAAAACATGTAGTAATTCTTGATTTTGTAATTAGAATTTACATTGATTTAAATTGAGAAGTGAAGTAATAAAAATAAGATAATCCAATAGTATCTTCTTTAGTTGGTGGATGAAAAATGGACTTCGCATCCACTCTAGTTTTTGCATTGCTTTAAACTCGTTAATCTCATGTATAACACCATGTTATTAAAACTTCAGTTGATTGAAGAATAGTTAACAATGAACAAAATTCTGGATTAAATCGTCAATATATCCAAAGAACCGACACCCAACTAATGGAGACATGAATAGCCTGCGAATTGCCTACTAACCTATACGGCAGATAAGTCTGAGACACTACCACGGTTCGTAGCCTATGACCACTAATCCTCGCCATCGCCATTCTCTAGGGCCTCTTTTGCTGCTGCCATCAGTTCATCAAAGTTTGCAGTTTTGCCAAGTACGATCTCAATCTGCATAATATAAATCGACATTGTAAGACACTGTTGCATCAAATAGTCTAGCTTGTGGGACAAATTGTGCAAATATAGGCATAACTCCATTGTTTTTTTTTTTCTTTTTTTTTCAGCAGTTAATTGGTTTTCGTCAAATTGAAGAAAACCAAATGAGCACAAAAAGTGATTTGAAATTTCTCTCTGTTGAAGTTATTATCCAATCATTGACACAATCTCCAACTAAAATGAAAATGCAAGTGGAATTTTGCGAATGGAAATTGGACATTACCTTGGCTTTTTGGACAGTTCTTCCTCTTGAGTCATCCCTTATCTCCACAGTAGATGTCGTAATTCCTACATATTTCAAATGGAGAAATACTTAGCCTATTTGATTAACTCAATGTCCAGAACTCTGAATCATGCACTGTAATCATATGGTAATCAAACAAAGAGATGAACTGAAGTGTGGGACCAAAATTACGTCTTGCAAAACAGATGTGATACTAAACATAATTTCTTTCTATCTACCTTTCTTCTTACTGTTAATTTCTAGCGCCATCTGAATTGAAAGGAAACCATGAAAGATTACTGAACAGAACAAAACTATATCAATTCAGCTCAGGAAAATAGCCAAGCAGAATTTAGGTTAGATATGGTATCACCCAGTTATACCAAGAAAAACCCACTATACCACGAGTTTTCTAATTTGTGTGAGGAACAAAGCAAATACAATGGCCAAAAAAGAAGATCAAAAACTCACTCTTCTCAACAGCAAAGCCATTGTTCTTCAGAATTTCAGCAATCGAGACGACGGTTGAAATCGCTGCAATAACATAAGTAAAAATACGGCATAAGAAAATGAAATAATGATTATTATGGACAAAATTCAATGGAAGAACAAATAACAAAGTAGAAACATTAAGGATTATTCCACTGTTGAAGTGTACCCCCATCACCCTGTATTATCATATGCAATTAACAGGAACTTCCTATCTATTTCATATTATCATTGGTTGGTCACACGTCACAACAAAAAAAACTATAAACAAGAGCTCCAATACAATTTGGCATGAACTAAGCAAACGACATAGTTTTGTGTATGTACAAGAAACAACTCAGACAAATCGAGGCAAGAAACATGAACAGAAATTGCTAAGGAGTGTTTCATGTTACTTTACTTCAACAGCTATCACCACCTTAACCCCTTCACTCACAAAGGAGACTATCAGTGGCGGAGCCACCAGTATGGCGAGGCATGGCGGCCGCCATACCTGGCCGCCGGCGAACACCCCCCTACCCCCCCAGTTTTTTTTTGTATT